AAAGGCAGTGATAAAACTAAAATTTCCCTTTTATTTTTCTTTGCTCTGCATGATTACTCCACATGCTTTAAGTATTGTTATAATAAAGTCACTGAAAAATAATCTTTTGCTGGAAATTCTTTAAAATTTTTTGTTCTCTTTTAAGCCTTATTTATAAAGATTTCCAGATGCTTATCCTCACAGATTAAACACAGCATGATGTAGACACTTACAATAATATCCACTGCTATGAAGCCAAGAAAAAACTACTTTTGAGATCTAACTGCCTATCACCTAAAGAATCAGGTTCAGGGAATTTTTTATTGCTATTAAGGTGTGATTCTCAGAAGTCATTTGAAAACAACCTAAGTTCTCAGCAGCAACAATCGACCCTGTACTATGTCAAAGCACATCAAATGGTAGGCATTCCAAGCCTCCAACAAACGGGTTACTTCTCATTATGTGAATACATAATGAAAGGATGCGGGCAAAGAACAGAATGTAAACTGGAAGCTGACTTCTGAATGTGTTAGGCAGTAGTCCTACACTGAAACAGTCATTCTAATTTCAAGAGACAATTCCAAAGTGGTTCTCAAGAGAAAGGATAAGGTATTTTTGAAATATTTGTTCAATGTGAATGGACTGGGTTTGCCAAAATGACTTTTTATGCTGGCATGCGATCTCTTAGAGGGAAGTCAGCCTGAGTCACTGGATACATCAAAAGTAGAGTCCAGTGAATGGAATTACTGAAGGCTGTATGAGCAAGCCAGATACCTGCATTCATCTGCCCACTGCTGGGATTTCAGCCTCCTTTTAATTACATTAAAGCAGCTGGTAACACTGGTTACTGAAGTCTTCAGATTACCTTGATTGCTCGGTCATTATCTCTAATCAGCTGCTTCTTCTCATCTTCAAACTTTTGTATAAGATCCTGTAGCCGCCTCTCTGCAGCAAGCTGCTGCCGGCTGCTCTCTTCTTTCAGAGAGGAAATGGTTGTCTGAAGTTCTGCTATGATCTAAAATGAAAACAGCATGCTATTACTGCAAAGTCTTCGGTGAGAAGATGTATTTTACATGTATTTATGCTTAACAAAAGAATGGATTTGGCAAAACTCTATTCCACAAACTAAATATTTTCAATTAACATATCATACACTATAATGCATGAAATTCCACATGATAAAAAGACTAATAAAACTGAATGGTGAACAACTGTTGAACCAAATATATTTGGAAGCTATTTCCACTATAACATTCCACAATATTTACTCATCAGAAGAAAGAACATCTGTGATCTCAAAAATATGAAAAGCATCAGATTTTATTTTACTGAGAAATATACTTACTACATTGAGAAAAGCTCTTCTGCCTGTCATAAGACTTTGAACTGCAATAATCAAAGAAAATAATGAATAGAGTTCATTCCTCAGGGTCACCTAATTCTACACAATTATTTTTGGGTATTCATTAATGTTTGTGTATTGTGTTAAGTAGTTTAAATTCATATGTCATTTACTACTGTGAGAAAGTATTATTATTACCTCTTTTCTGTAAATGAGAAAACAGAGGCACAGAGAGAGGTCAAATATTTTACATCATGGAAGATGACATGCAGCTAAGGAGACAAGAAGGTTTTGAACCACACAGTCAGATCCATCTGCGCACTAATGGGTTCTTCTAACTAGCTGACTGTATTTTCTTTTAAACAAGCTTTTATTGAAGAGAAGATTATAATTTCAAATACGTTGTCTTCCTAATTGATGCATTTATTTTGGTTCAAATAGTGCCATTTCAGATTCTCTGGTGGCCTTCCCTACATTGAGAACTGGTTCCCTCCAGGACAGATTTTCCTCCACCTGCTCAAACTAACCATCTGAGGAGGAACTCTGACTTTCAATGGGCCAAGAGCACTACCCTGCCTTTGGTTTGGATGAAATCAATTTCCTTTCAAATTCAATAGTGATGACTTTTTAAAAGCAGGAAATGGTTGTTTCTTCTAATAAAAGAAACAGTATTAGTCCTGTGTTAGAATAAAATTCTGTTGCTTCTACAAGAAAGCCAGTTAGTGAGAAATCTTTCTTGAGCTTAGTTTTTTCAACTACTGTTTGTTACAATACCAAATCACAGAATCATAAGATAATAAACCGAAACTATGTGAAGTGTCCCAGAAGCCAAGGCCTATTGAAATATTGGTATTACTACTGATGTTAAAATAGCATTCTTACAATGAAATATAGAGTATTTATGGCCTTAGAAGTACACAAACTCAGCGTAAAAAATTGAACATTTAGAACTTGCAAATAATTAAGATAAGTGCAAAATGATAAAATACAGAACAGCAGTAAGTTAATATTAAATGCAAATTAGGACTTCCTACTATGAGTGGAAGAATTAATTTACTGAGAATAGAACAGTGGTCATCTATTTTCTCAATTTTGGTTAAATGTTGTTTCCATTCTGGCATCAATTCAATTAATTCTCATAGCATTTTTGTGAAGTACAAAAGGTTAAATTGTTATGGTCAATGTTAAAAACTGAAGCACAGAACAATCAATTCCCAGTCATTGAGTCAGAGAAGGTAGGGATAAGAAAGAGCTAGTCTTCTTTGGTTTAAAAAACAAATATAAAATTGATATTTTATAATAACACACATCCAAACAGTAAAAAACCCCAATATTTAACTGTTTCAAACTGAATAAACCATAACTTTGTAGAAGTGGTAGGTTTAATTCTTGAGTGTGTGTGTTTAGTTCTAAACAATTTTTATCACATGTATAAATTCATATATCCCCAACGACAGTCATGCAATCTATTTTTAAAGTAGAAAATCATCTTTTTCTAAAAAAAACAAACAAATTAGGATTAAGATTAGCATAACTGACCAAAGACTGATGATAAAAAATATTTGGGGATATTTCAAATGATCACAAGGGCCTGAAATAGGCATATCTCTCATTTTCAGAAAATTTAGGGCAAGAGTACATAAAAAGAAGTAAATGCAGATTTTGGAAGAAATTAAAGAGAAGTCTGGGATGTTCTGAGGAGGGCATGCCTGCTTTTGCATGGAAAATGAAACCTTACCTTCTTTGGGGGAATAATGAGATTCCGACTGGGAAAATAATGAGACTATATTTGGAAATCTATTTTTAAAGCTTGGAAAACTTACGAAGGTGACATAAGGGAAAGAATGTCAAAAGACTTCAGGCAAAATACCTTGGCTAGACAAATTGGATATAGACAGGCAGCAAAAATAAGGGTGATTTAAAAAAAAACCAGGATTTAATGTTTATTTGCAGATTGAGAAATAATGATAAGAATCAGATTAACACATATGCCTTAGATAGGAAACAAAGCATGGCGCTTTAGGTTTGTTAGTTGTAGATGTAGAGTACAAGAAAATGGATTATTATATGGTGTATAAGAAATGGTATCAGCACAAGGGATATAATTAGTACTCAGTATTTAAGAAATTGAATTATAATCATGGTAAATAAGAAAAAAATTTATCACCTGTCAAGGTTTATTGAGATAATCTAGCCTTTTGACACAATAGTAATGTAAAGTTTCTGAGAAAAATGAAAGTGAATATATATAATCATAAACAGATCTTCCAATTTTGATTACATATAATTTAAAACAGTGAAACAAAATATTGTCATTCAACCAAATGTTTACCCTGTATTAGCTAGAGAAAAAAGTGAATTAGAACATTTTCATGTAGATACCAAAAATTAATATTTTGGCAAACGGGCTGTTTTGGACCAATGGTGTAAGCAATCTAATCCATGAAAGTAATAATGGCAATATCTACAATGAACACTTTACATAAATGTTGGGGTTCTTATTTAAGGACTTCAAAATAACAGGATACTAAAGGTTAAATTTCATCTTTAACTCATTCTGTTGTTTTTCAGATTGCAGTATAGTTTGAGATTTTTCTATAACTTAAAAAAAATGCAACAGATAAGCCAAACAATACTTAGGAAAGTTAGGTAAACACTGAAAGCCCTCATCAAGTAAGTGAGAGAGCATTCTTTGGTGGCCCTTGGTGAGTGACATGAAGTCAAGATGAGTGGAAATGGTTTATGGCTGGCTGGGTAAAAACCTGCATCAGGCAGGGAAGCTAGCAAGAGGCAGGGGGACCACATGTTTCAGCAGTGGGTGGGCTTGGGTGGCATGCCAGCTTTGGTCCTTTCCACATTTTCAACTATGCATGTTCTTGCAAAATGGCATTATCTTCCTTTGAAAAATGGTCACCAGGTGACTAAGGGGAGCAGGGAAACCGCACCAAACCTGAAAATGTTTAACATATAATTAGCTAAAAAGAACAAATCTTTGATGCTGATGGGAATGATTTCTGGGAGTGTGCCCACAGATACTGCAAATATTATCAACAGTCATCATGACTGGTGAGGAGCTCAGAAGGGGGCACAGTCCTCAGGTGTGCTGAGGGGTTAGTGTACATGGTCTGTTAGGTCTCAGAGGTTTGATAAAATCTTAAAGATTAAGTAACTTCCTTTGGAAAAGGGAGATATTTAAAATATTTTCTAAATTTAACTTGATGTGCCAACGCATTCATCATTAGTGCATTCATTTTATTACTTTTTATTTTGAAAGACAGATTTTCAAAAACCTGATAATCAGAGTTAAGCAAGTTTGCTTTCAGCACTCTCATCAGCTTGATGAGATAGGAGTTGGAGATTCTGGCAAACTAGCACTCAAAAGTGGAAAAAGTCAATCCATGGTTCTGCTTTTTAATTTTCATTTAAAGACAATCTTTTTTGGAACTGACTTACACTATAGGTAAATGTTGTGCAAATGCCCCTTGATGGATATAAATACCTACAGATATATTTATATACATAGAAATATTTATATGAATTCCAAAATGAGAAACAAAAATATTATCAATGTAAGGTTATCATCCTTTTATGAGGACAGACTAGCTTTTATTATGTTTTTATATTCTTTTTAGGAATTTCTGTCTTGTACTATCCTATCATTTATGAAATGATAGGTATAGTGTATGATAGTTGTAACTGATTTTTATACCTCCTTCTCCTCCTTCATGTCTTTATCTGGGAAAATAATTAGCAACCCCATGCATCTTCAAATTTTGCAGGGAGGTTTTATTAGTTCTTCAACACCCCAAAACATAGTGTCTGAGGAAATAATTTCTGCTTTCTTCCAAACCTTTTAAAATTCTTCCCTCCTTCCTTCCTATCTCTTTTGCAACTTTTGTACTGCTACTAAAATTGCTAACAGTTACTAAATGCTTTAGTACATCCAAGGCACTGTACTAAACATGTCTTTGGCACTGTTTTACTTAATAGTTAAAACTATCTTAGAAGGTATGTACTGCTTTCTAATTTGAAAAATGAAGAAATTGAATTCCAAAGAGGGCAGGTAAGGCGGCTCAAAGTCATACAAGTGAATACCAATTCAAGGTCAGGTCCGTGGACTCCAAAGCTTATTCCTCTGTACTTACATTTAATTTGCTTTAATGTCACCTCATCAGGCTTCTTCATGCATTCCTTCAGATAAACTTAAATGCTCTCATTTACACCCTCATTATTCAAGCATTTTTATTAGCTATCTTATTATATCTTGCTCTCAGTTTGACTCTCCCATTGAACATAAAGCAAAATAAGCAAGGATATAGGTGTGTGCAGCTGGATCTTGTAGTTTAAACTTTAATTGTTGGAGCAATAAGATTTCTTTTGAATATGAGTCTCCATGTTTCCATTTCTCCATGTTTATTCCTCAAGGGTTGGAATAATGGCAATCAAGCCATAATCATCATCTCTTATATAAACATGTACGACTCTTCATTTAGACAAACCATTTACGCTTTCCTAGTGGGATGAGAATTATATAACAAGGACATTTTAGAAATAGTAGAATTGAAGACATTCCCTGACAACTCTCACCAAAGTTTAATGTATAAAAAATGTAAGGGAATGGGTCAGACTTCCAATGTCAAGGTTCAGAATTTCCACTGTGAAATCAGAACCAGACTGAGTCCTGGCTTAGTCATTTGCTAACTTATGTGATCTAATCTCTCTGGGTCTCACTTTTCTGCACTGGAGAAATGGGGGCAAAAACAGTTCCAAACCTAGTTACTGTGAATGAAGACTGACTGAATCAACAGACTTAGTCTCGTAAGTGTTAAATGTCATTACCATTTTGTTGTTGTGTTGTTGATCATATTATGTGGTAACATAAAATGATACAAAATTTCAGTTTACATATCACTGATTACATGTGAAGATACTAAGACTTAAAAATCAATAGATATGAAGCCTACAAAACTAAATGGCTTAATTTATCCATCTGTAAAATGAAAATAAATAATGCCTGTTTGTTCTAGGATTATCCATACAACTAAGGTATGCTTGGGATTCCTTAAATGACATTGTCAGACAACACTACAACAATTTATGCAGAAAGAGTACACCGAGCAACGTACTTCAAGTGGAGACAACCATTCAAATATTAGTCTTTCTCATAGTAAAAAAAATGATAGTTAACAACACAAAAAATAAGATATAGATAATAGAACTTATAATTTGTTTTCTCCCTAAAAGGAGTTAACAATTGAGCTGCCAATTTAATTGTCACCTTGAAGTATGTTGACTCATCATACTTCAGTAGCCTTTAGGTGAGTGAAATGGAATATTGCAAAAAAGCACAGATGGTATCAAACTGCTTATATCCTAAATGTAGGTGTGTATCTTCTGCCCTTGTGAAATATGTTTCAGCCTGGGCTTGTTCAAGTGCACAGGCTGGTTTTACAACATCTGTGTGTGTGTGTGTGTGTGTGTGTGTGTGTTGTTCAAATGGTTTAATATTTCTAATTTTTCTTGATTTTTAAAATAAGATTGAACTATTAAAAGCATATTTTATTTATTTATACACCCATCAAAGATACGATACTGACCTATGAAAAACCAAGAATTAAAATTAACTCTGAAGCCCAAAGGCTTTGATGTGTCAGATTCATTTTCATTTTGTTTTACTTTGTTTTGTTTCTTTTACTGTTCCTTACCTGTGAAGATTTGGCAAGCTTCTGGGTATATTCCTTCTCAATCTGCTTCAGCCTGCTGTTGGCCTGAAAAACACACGTACATGAACATACACAGGGTGACCTATGAGCTTGGTATCTCTTCCACATGCCTATCACCAGGCAGCTGGGACGCCTGCCAGCTGCACTGCCCTTCTGGGGCAGCCAGAAAACCACAGGGCTTGTCTTTGATCTGATGCCAACTATTCATCACTTAAAAAGAAAAAATCTCTCCTGCCAATTATTAGACAAACACAAGAATTCTGTGGATAGAAAGAGAAAGGGAAAAGAGAAGCAGAAATAGAAATAGTCACAGCAGGTAAAGGAAGGAGACGAAAGAAGAAACAGAGGGGTGGTAAAACTTAGAGAAAGAGAGGACAGGAAATTAGAGGAGCAGAAGGAAAAGAAGGTGGTAAATTTAATATTCTTTCACTTTAGTTTAAAAATAAAAGAAGTAGGTGTTTCTGGACAAAGGCAGATATGAGAATTTTAGAGTCACTCAGCAGAGCTGAGCTCTCACTTTGCCTAACACGGCTACTTTTTGAAGTAGCAAATATAATGGAAATTAAGCAATTTTATGTCCTGAAACAGGGGCGACCTTTCCCAAATGAGTCTACCTTGCTTGGAACTTGATTATTTCCTGCCACTCAAGTTCTGATCATTTGGATGTGACCTGTTTTCTGCTCTATGGAGGTGCCTGGCTCTTCACTCTCCCCTCAGTGCACAGCAAGAGCACAGCAACCTGCACTAGAGGGGGCCTTTTCCTGTCAATCATGTGGGTTTATGTCCTTCATTTCTGGGAAGTTTGGCCACTGGTCTCATGATTGCCTCTCATCTGTCTTCCCTGCCTCCTTCTCTGATGCTAGTGCTTTTCAGGTTCATCACCTGTTTGTTTGTGTTTTTTTTTGTACCGGGGATGGAACTCGGGTCCTTGTGCTTGTGAGGTAGGCGGCGGAACCACTGAGCTAAATCCCTGGCCTCATCATCTTTTTTTATTGTCTATTTTCCATCCCTTTGTAATTTTTGTTTCCTCTAGGGTTTCCTTAGTTTTTACTTTATAACTTTCTACTGGATTATTTATTTATTTTTGGTACCGGGGATCGAACTCCGGTCCTTGCACTTGCGCAGCAGGCTTCTGAAACCACTGAGCTAAATCCCCGGCCCTCTACTGGATTTTTAAAAAAAATTTTGCCCCCATATCCATAATTTCTAAGGATTCCTTTTTGTTCTCTGAATAGCATCACACACACACACCCCTGTTTTTACAAATGAAAAAAACCCCTGAAGTATGTTATGTAACCTGCCAGCATCATACAGCTTGGAAGCGATGGAGCCAGGACTTGGTGTCTCACACACGGTTTAGGTTCAGTGCACAGTATCCCTTTAGCTAGAGCACAGTGCGGAATGAATGCCTCACAGTGCAGAATGCATATGCATTATTCCTCCCGAGAGGTTTCTTTTTCAGTACTGGGAATCAAACTCAGGGATTTCACACTGTTGCACTATGGTTCATCCCCACCCCTTTTTTTACACTTTGTGTTGAAATAAGGTCTTGCTAAGTTACAAAATTGTCCAGGATAGGGTTGAATTTGAGATCTACCTTCCTCAGCCTTCTAGAGTGTTGGCATTATAGGTGTGTGGTATCATGCCTGGCCCTTCTGAGGTTATTAACTTCATATAAATTTTTTTTCTGCTTACTAGAGTATATTTTTTCTGTTCCCTTTATTTTTGACAGCTTGTTTTGGTCTTTGTCTTTAACTTTAGATACTTTCCTTAATTAGTGATCATTTTGTTTTCCTTTCTTGTTCAAAGGGAGTCCTTCTAAAGCTGACTGAAAGGTGCTTGGATGTGTGCAGGCTTGTGGATGCAGGATGTCCCCACACGGTGTCACAAAGGAGCTCGGCCTCTCCTGTGCCAGGCCCTGACTGGACTTCCTTCCTGGGCCAATATGCCCAAAGCCACTTCTTCTAGTGTACTGCCTTGGTGGCAAAGGTCTGGCTTCAGTGTTCCAGAAGGGTGTCTAGCTGTTCAGGCTGGCACAAGCCCATCTTCAGTTTTATCCTCAGCGATGCCCAAGTCCCCTCTCTCAGCCCACTTCTCCAGAGGGCAAACTGGGGGCAAAGGTAGGGGCAGTCACTGGATCAGTTATTCCCTATGACTGCTCCTTATGCTCCCCATCCTCTAGTTTCCCGCCCTGTCCTTCCTATTCCTGAAGCCTTCCCAAAGGTGGGCAACTGGAAAGATCTTGCAGTTTCTAACTGGCATCCTTTAAGCCCCTGTTCCCCAAGAAAATGTTTGCATTTTTGAAGGCTCAGTTCTGCTAAGTCTATTCAGGTCCAGACTCTTCTCAAGGTCAAAAATGGTGGTGATTTTGTATGTGTAGTATTCTCTCCCTTCTTGCTCTCTCTGTGAAAATTATATTATAAAAATATTATTATCTGGGTCCCACCTTGAGGTTCTGATATCATTCATCTAAGGTATAGCCCAGGCACTACCCTTTTAAAAATCTTGGCAGCTATTTCTAATGTTCACCCAAGGTTAAAAATCATTTTTCATGTAATTTTCAATTTGATTTCTTCCACTTTAACGGGACTTCCTCAGGGAGTGGGGATAAACAGGCAAGTCCTGTCCACTCTGTTAAACTGGGAGCAAATGCTTTTTCATTTGGACAGCACCATGGGATGAGGAAGCAACCTTCTTCTGACTGTCTGCATGGGAGCACTAAGGCTGCACTGGTAATTGCTGGGTGACTTGTCTGTCTCCTCCACTACACTGTGAGATCCTAGAAGGCAGTCATAGCTCCTAACATAGTGCTTGTTGCATTAATGCTTGCCTAATGAGAAAAATGATACTCTACAGCCCTCTTCCTTTTCCATCACCTCAATCCAGCCCCCTGAAGTAATCCTTTCATAAACATGTTTCATGAACTTAAATTCAAAAGCAATTCTTTAGAATTTGTCTGTAAACCTCTGCATCTATAATCTCAATGAACACAGGGTAGTTTTGCTTTTTCCAGAGTAAAAAGGGCATGTTAAGTATTGCTATTTTTTTCAAGTAAGCTGTCAGACTTTATTTCAGCTCTGTGACTAATAAAGCCACTTTCTATTGTAACATTAGGGCCACTCTCAATCTCTTGAGGTTTTTTTGGTCTTGGTTCACATTCTGTCAATGTTATTTATCACAAAATGCTTGATGAAGTATTTGCTGTTTTTAAAATAAATACTCACAGAGCTCTTACCATGTGCCAAGCACTGTTCTAAGTGCTTTAAAAATATTTACCTACTAGAAAATCTAAAAATTAATTACATTGTCATGAAGATGAAGTTACTTTTCCCTAAAGCTGTTTGCATCAGAGATGCTGGTTAGTGCAGGGAGGCCAGTATCTTGGATGCAGCTACTCTGCAGGAGCTGTGGTAGCTAGCACTGGAATCTCACAAACCTAACCAGCTCCTTTACAGCTAAATATCCATTCCACTTATCCACTCTTAAATGATAGTATTGAACAAAACACACAAGCATCTCTCTTCTAGCCAAGAGGGTGAAAAAATAATTTTCAAAAGTAATATTTTAGATGGTATGAGTGCCATAAGGATAAAACAGGGAAAGGAGGTAGAAAGTAATGAAAAGCAGTGGGTATTTTATAATTTTTGAAATACACAAGTTCTAGAAGGTCTCCATGAGAGGGTGATATATGAACAAAAACCTGAAGAAGATGAGGAAGTTATGAATTCCAGGGAGAATACATTCCAGGCAGAAGAAGAGTCGGTGCAAAGGCCTTGAAGTAGAGGCATGTGCACAGTGCAGAGGGCAATGTGGTTGGATCAGTGAGCAATGACTCACTCAGACAAGACACAGTCCAAGGAAGGAGTCAGTTCCCACAGGGGACTCTGCTTGACAGTAAGGAATTTGGTTTTTAATGTGGTAAAATGGGGAGGCAATGAAGGATTTTCACTATAGAAGAAACATAATTTGACTTAGGTACTATTAAGACCATTCTAGCTTTTGTTTGGGGTAAGAATCAAGAAAAGAAGCCAGTTAGGAGGCTACTGTAAATAACCCAGTATGGTAACAGAGGAGGTGGTGAGAACTGCTCAGATTCTGAGAAAAACTTGAAAGTAGAACCAACTGATGAGTTGCATGACAGGAAGACACGAGTTAAGAATGACTTCAAGATTTTTATACTAAGCAGCCAGAAAAATGAGGCTGTTGTTAGCTGACATAGGAAAACTATTGGTGGAATATGTCTTGGGAGGAAGATCAACTGATCACTTTTGGATATATTAAGTCCAGAGATATCTATTAGACATCATTGTTGAGGTATTTGGATATTAAAGTGTTGGGTTGATGGGAGAAGTGCAGGTTAGAAGTATGAATTCTGAGGCCACCAGTATATATGCAATGTGTGAAACCATACTACCATATGAGATTTGAGACACTAAGTGTACAACAAAAGAAGCAGCTTAGGTATACTAAGCCCTGGGACTGCAGATGTTAGGCCTACAGATGTTTCCCTTCTTAGGCTGGGGAAATGAAGTAGAAAGTAGACAGATGTAACAGCCAGAGAGATTAGAGTATGACATAGAGTTCTGAAGCCATGCAAAGGAATGTGCCAGGCGAACTGTGCCAGATACTACACAGAGGCCATGGGAAGACAGATTAGAAATGATCACACAGATTTGGGAACATAGATGAAACAGATGAAATAAATTCAGATATATTAGGAGGGATGAAAGCTGGATTGGGGTGGGGGTTTAAGACAGAGAAAGGGAGCACTAGAATAGAATACAGTACAAATAATTTTTTTCAAAATTTTGTCAGGATGGGGAGGAGAGTATGGGCTGGGGTTGCAGGGGAAAAGGGTAAATGGAGAGCTATTTGCTTTGTTGTGTATGTTTTGTTTTTGTTTTTGTTTGGTAAGATGAGAGAACTAATAGCATGTCTGTAGGCTCATGGGAAGGATCTAACAGTAGAGAGGTAAAAATAATGCCAGAGATTTACTGAGCACATGCCCTTGAATAAAGCAAAAGAGATGTGTCATGGAGTTAACA